ATCATATAATTCGCAATGGAACAAGCCCTCGTCCTGAAGGATGCTCCATGAGAGTGGAGAAGAGCCCGCCCTCTATCCACGAAATGTTAGCAACAGGAAGTTAGCAATTCCACTCTCCCTATCTAAATCGCTTCAATCGGTTGCCCTGTTGGACCCTCCCTTCCCTTTTGTATATGTATTTAAATGTATATTGTAATTTATATGTTTTATATACACGCAAACCAAAAATCTATTACAATGAATGTTAGTTCCATTTCCTATCATCCTCTGTTCATGAACATCGCAGCGAATTTTAGAAGTTGACCTTGCAGGCGATGTAATGGTTTTTTGCCTTTTTTTATTTCGTGTTCTGTCTGTGCTTTCACCTACACAAGCAAGCATTTGCCTTGATTTTTATGTTCAACATGGTAGAACGACGCACACCCTTGCCTCGAATCTCTCCAGCAGAAAAAGCATACGAAGTCGAGTGTGAGAGGAAATGAGCGCTTCTTGTTTGCTTTTAGGCTATCCTTATTCAGAAGCATGGAGAGAGCAGTGGAGAAAGCACGGGTCTGATAATCGCAACGTTCGTTGTTCGAGTTCAGTCGGCAACCTTTTTCCTATTGTAATCGATTAACAAAATTAACAAAAATCGATCAGGTCAGGGTGTTGAATCTCAGAAATAACGATTTGGCCAATAAGATCCGTTCTCTCCCAGATTGACACAGCCTTTTTGGAAGCTAACCAGAATCTTAAAAAATACTGGTTTCATTGAATCGTCGTCGGTCGATTACTCAACAACTGACTCGACTAATGAATACTCTCAGACAGAACTAGTCGGTATCTGAAACATCTGCCATGACATTTTTGGACGTTGAAAAAGCGTTCGACAATGTTTGGCATGGTGGGCATTGTGTAAAAATAAAACGATACGGTTTTCCAATCTTCCTTGCGAAGATCATCCAAAATTACCTTTCACACAAGGCATCACTTCTGATGCCTTCAACATTGGCGCGGGCGTTCCACAAGGAAGCAGTGCTGTAAATTTTCATATCATTCGATTGAAGATGAACCACTACAACCATTCAATCAATTCTGTGTAAACGAATTCTCACATGACCATAATTTGAAGAGCCCCTTTCTCATTCGAAGCTCATTGTCACTGTCAATTGAGTCACTCAGTATCATTTGATATACGACAGTGGAGTATGGAAGAAATCCAGGAAAATGGTCCCGAACAGACAAGTCGACCCGATGTCGGATCAATGTAAGGCTAATTTAAGGTCGATGTCGACCCAATGTCGTGTTAATGTCGGGTCAATTTTGGGTTTATGTCGGGTCAATGCCGGGTCAACATCGGGTTGGGGTTTGATAGAAGTCAGGTTGGTGTCGGGTTGGCTTAGCTTTTTCGCCGGAATGTCGACCAGAGCTCCGTTTGTGTGTAGGTTACACTCAATCGAATGATATATAGCGTTTCTCAAATGAGAATGATCCATGCCTTCGTCAAATGACTAAGCAACTGATATCACCCATTCGGAGGAGGTCCCCTTTGATAGCGAATAGCTACTTTTCTCATTTTCATCAAAAATGTTCAAATGATTTTGAGAATTTACAGCACTGCAAGGAAGTATCCTTGAGCCCATCCCCTTCAACTTGTTTACCTCACCTCCGACATTCCGGCTCTCCTAGATTGTGGAACATTGTCTCTGTTTGCAGATGACACATCCATCGTCTATAATGGAAGGGTCATCGGAGCTTTTACTGCCAAACATCAGAGAGGCTTGGATGTCCTGTCTGATTATTTCAACAACTGATCCAACAACGTTGATCCGTATCAACGTGGTAAAGACCCAGGTCATCATATTTCCACATTCCCAACCATCAAGACTTGTTCCACCTGAAAATAATAAGATCTGCTTGAATGACTCAGTGGTGGAATGGTCCAAAGCACAGGACTGCAACGCCTGTTAGCCAAATTTCTCTGGTGCTCTGATGCTAATTTGACAGCTCATCCTTTTCCTCTATGATTAAGCTTGGTACATGTGTTGCCGAAAATAAATAGAATTTTCTAGATAACGTTATAGGAGAGCATGATTCACGCAAATTGTGCTCGTCAATTCGAAAACAACTAAATCATTTTTTAATTGTCCATTGCGGGAAAGTAAGAATGGTTTTGAAGGCATAACATTTGTTGCCACCTTGCCGCATTTAAGGGGGTATTCCCGATCTTTTTTTTCAAAAAATCAAATTTTTTTTTTCACGTTTTTTTGTACTTTAGACTAAAGGGTGATACGGTCAAAATTTGGTCAAGGGAAAACGCGTGTAAATCGGTGAAATCGTTTATTTAAAAAATCAAATTAAATTTCTTTTTCAAGTTCAATTAGTATAAAATTCAGGAAAAATATTCAGTTAGGCTTCCGCTTTTCCAAATCCGAATTGCCGGGCCTTACGCTTGACCCCTGCCATCAGATTTTGTACAGCCACCTTGTCCACCTTCTTCGCCGCAGAAAGCCAGTTTGCCTTGAACTGCTGCTCGCCCTTAGCAGTTTTTTTGGTTTTCTTTAGGTTCCGCTTGACAATAGCCCAGTATTTCTCAATTGGGCGGAGCTCTGGCGTGTTGGGAGGGTTCTTGTCCATGGGAACCACCTGCACGTTGTTGGCGGCGTACCACTCCATGGCCTTTTTACCGTAATGGCAAGATGCCAAATCCGGCCAAAACAGTACGGAACAACCGTGTTTCTTCAGGAAAGGCAGCAGACGTTTATTCAAACACTCTTTCACGTAAATTTCTTGGTTGACAGTCCCGGAAGCTATGAAAATGCTGCTTTTCAAGCCACAGGTACAGATGGCTTGCCAAACCAGATATTTCTTTGCGAACTTTGACAGTTTCATGTGCTTGAAAACATCTGCTACCTTTCCCCTTCCTTTTGCCGTATAAAACTCCTGTCCCGGAAGCTGCTTGTAGTCGGCTTTCACGTAGGTTTCGTCGTCCATTACCACGCAGTCAAACTTCGTCAGCATCATCGTGTACAGCCTCCGGGATCGCGCTTTGGCCGTCGTATTTTGTTTATCATCGCGATTTGGAGTCACAACCTTCTTGTAAGTCGATAGTCCGGCTCGTTTTTTGGCTCGATGCACGGTTGTAGACGATACACCCAGCTTATTTGCGGCATCTCGGAGAGAGAGGTTAGGGTTTCGCTTGAAACTACCGGCAACTCTCTTTGTCGTCTAAGCGGCTTCCGGTTTTCGATTTCCCCCCGATCCAGACTTCCTGGCTGTCGACAAACATTCCCCAAACACTTTAATTACATTTGTAACGGTTGATTTGGCATCTTTTAGCGATTTTGCCAACTTTGCGTGCGAGTAGCTCGGATTTTCGCGATGCGCGAGCAAAATTTTGATACGCTGCTCTTCTTGCGTGGACGGCATTTTGACAACTGAAGAGTGAATTCCAAAATCAAAATAGGAGCAACATTCTACACACACACACCTTCAAAATGAGGGGTGTTCAGGTTTTTTAAATGCAAAATTGAAAGAAATACGTCAAGTTGATATTGACCAAATTTTGACCGTATCACCCTTTATATACTTTCATCCCCCCGAACCGTTTTCCGATCAGCGAATTCGGTGTCCAGGCATAGCTGACTAATGGTAAGAATCCCCAAATGGTTTTAACTAAAGTCAAAACTTTAAACGCGTTTTTCTCGAAACCACATTTTTTTATCGGGCGAAGATTTTTCTCAGAAACTATAAGAGATATTGACTTGAATCTTTGCGCATTTTGTTCCTTATTAAATTTTTTGGAGCCTCTCCCACTTTCACCAAAAAATATTAACATTTAACATTGTTTGAAGCACCTTAAAGCTGCAAAAAAGCGGGCTAAAAATCGCCTGTTTTTTCATATGGCCGCCATTTTGTTAATATTTAAGATTTTTTGCTGCCAACGGGAGAAGCTCCAGAGAATCTTATCAGATTATTAATTTCATCACGAAATCTGTTTCAGATGAAGCCGTTCCAGAGAAAAGTCTTCGCCCGTCCAGGCGTTTGCGGCGAACAGGGGTCTGTTTGCCGCCATTTTGTGACGTCAATAATGTCTTTTTTTATGCCGAAAAAAATTTATTTGTAAACTTTAATGTTCAATAAACAAGAATCCCAAAGAGTTAGGCGCATTACTATTCATTTTCCTTGAAAAAAAAAATTAATTGAAAAACAGGCCGAAAAAAGGCAAAAGATTGGGAATACCCCCTTAATGTTATATGGTTGAAGCTTAAATATGTTATGGATCACCAACGCTGCTGATGTTTTCGGCAGTTTCAAAAACTGAACAGGTGGGTTGGTCCAAAGGAGTTGTGTACCTTGAACTAACTCTAGACAGCAAGCTTATGTTCATAAAACACCAAGTGCAACATCTTGATAAGATCACTTTATCCGCTTATCAACAAAAAGTCTACCTTAAATAAGCTTGCTGTCTATTGAGTATGGTATGCCAATCTGTGAGAGTTGTTCCAAATGCCATCATCTTAAACTGTAAAGGATCCAGAACAAGATGTGTAGGATGATCCTAAATAGTTCCTGGCGTACTCGGTATTTAATACCAGAGACAACATTGGTCACATAAGCTCATGATCTGGGGAATCGGTCAGACACCGATATAAGCTAATATCCATCAACTACACATCAAGCCACATGAGAATTCAAAAACAAGATGTTCCTATAGAGAGCTTAGAGCCACATTGGTTATACCTGATGCCCTCGGCGAAGTGGTCATATTCTGACCTGAGTGGACATCATGCATACATTATTTGACTTCTATTCCTGAAATCGGATTCGAGCATTTTCGACACAACTTTTAAATTCGTAAGAACGGTCCGATTTCACTGTAGTAGGATATATTGAGGTTTCAAATTGAATGTATGCTGAATTCTGCAATCCAGGAAACACTTGAATTTGTGTTGGGAAGTAGATTAAATAAAATCCTCTAAAGTGCATTGCTTTTTATCACCATCGTATTTCATTTTTATTACTTGTATCTTATCTTTCAAAACAGCTGCCTCATTAGAACTGCAATGCTGGCAAAGATAACTGAAATAGTGGGGATAATCATCGATCCAGTGCCCTTATCGTATGGCGTATATTCTTCAGGCTCTGGCATCAACTTCATATCAATTGTATGTGTTTTCACCACATTGGCATAGAACTTAGCCGACGACTTCTGCACTCGGGTCAGATTCGGATGGTTGTAGTCCACAAAGTACAAACCAAATCGTTCCGAAAGTCCCGCGCGCCACTCAAAATTATCCATCAAGCTCCACGCTACGTAGCCTTTCACGTTGCAACCGTCCTTGATGGCATTCAGGACAGAATTCAGGTAGCTTTTGTAGTAATCTACGCGTCCTTCATCACGGGTACCCCCACGATCGCTGTATCCATTCTCTGTTACGTAGACCTCAGGATTGTTGTACTCTTTACTGATCCATTTAAGCAGATTGTAGATACCTTCCGGGTACACCCTGAACCAGCTGGATCCCGTTGCTGGCCAGCTGGGGTCCTGATATTCAATTATGCCTCGATCATGATCAAATGATGGCTCTGGGTAGTTAACTGTATTGGCGGCATCGTTTTTGTGGACCAAAGCCGTGGTGTAGGTGTTGAAGCCAAAGAAGTCCGCCGATCCTTTTAGTTTGTTGATTTCCTCCTGCGTGAAAACCGGCAAACGGGACTTGGCAAAACCTTGATACCGACTGAAGTTACCGATGCGATCGATCATGACTTGTGGATAATTGCCTTGGGTTGAGAAGATAGGATGTGCGTACCAACCGAGCTGTTTTTGAAATTAAAAGTTATTATCAACTGATCATGACATTCAAAATCCCATTTGACTTACGATGAATTGCATATTAATTTCCGAGGCTTCCATATCATCGGTTGAGTTGCTACGGGGCTCTGCCCAAGAAGAATCGATGGTGATACCAATTTTACCACCTTGAATCGACTGGAACTGGGTTTTGTACACTTCAACTGCTTCAGCGTGTGATAGTAGCAGATTGTGGCTGCAAAGATAACTGGGAATACCGGGGAATTCAAGCCCAGGAGACATGGCATCCCATTCGTACGACTGTCGGCACGTTTGAAGCGGTTCATTGAACGTTGTCCACCATTTGACGCGGTCGCCGAATGTCTGGAAAGCAAATCGAGCATATTCTCGAAAATGGCCGATGACTTCTCGATTCGTCCAACCACCTATTTCCTGAAGCCGTTGCGGTAGATCCCAATGGTAGAGTACCACGAGGGGAGTGATGTTATTTTCCAGCAGAGCATTGATAAGGTTATTGTAGTACTCTACTCCCTTCGCGTTGATCTCATTGCTGATTCCGGTGGGCATGATACGCGTCCACGCAATCGAGAAACGATAGATGTCAACTCCGAGATCTTTCAGCATCTCCACATCACGTCGCCACTAGGAAGTGTTTCATTTTAGTATGTTTCCAAAAAATATATCCTTCTACAACTTACCAGATGATAACTGTTGCAAGCCACATCACCATTCGAACGGTCGGTAATCTTGTCCGGATGATTGTGAACCAGGTGGTCCCAGATGGATTCGCCCTTGCCGTCTTCGTTCCATGCTCCCTCAATCTGGTAAGCAGAAGTTCCTACCCCGAACTGGAAATCATCAGGAAATTCTCGCTGGGCGTTTGCAAGACTAGAAGGGGGAACCAATTGGTGTGATAATAGGCCACTTGAAACACTTCAAATCTGCCACTTACCCAACGGTCAAGAGTAAACAGGCCAATGCAAAGCACTTCATGGTTCAAATGTGGTCCAATCCCAGGTGCCGCCCTAATGCTACTGACCGGTGTGTATAAATCCCGTAAAATACAATAGCTATCTTAGGTTTTAACCCCTGATAAACCGAATAATGGCGCGTACAAGCTGATACGACTAATAGCTACGTAAAGGATTGTTGTTGCCTAATCAGCCTTGGCGTGTAGATATCAGCTAAATTCAATAGAACGTGCAATAGATTACAGTATACCACAGCGGTTCTCAAACTTTGGTTGCCTGCGACCCACCAATATTACATGCAGAAATTGTGAGGCCAAAATGCGTTGCGCTGCGTTTGCAACGGAGTAATTCGTTGGTTGCTTACTGGCAACTGTCATGTATGTACTTTGACGTTCTTAAGAAAAACTCTTTGGGGGTGGAAAATGGCTCTCGAAGCAAAAGTAAGAACGAAAAAAATGTGACAATTACCATTGCCGGCCACGCCCATCTTCTCCGTCACAAGGCAAGGAAGGATATTGCTGATGTAACTTCTACTTAACGGAAGGCCAGCGACTCACCGACGTCCCCATAGATGCTACGGAGTTGGATAGTTGGGTAGGAGATGGGTCAGGATTCGCGGCGATGCGACCACAGTAATTGTATTGTTATGGAAGAGCTTGGGAATAAATCCACGATCTTCTTCTCAGTAAGCAAAAGCGGTAACCGTCAAGCTAACCGAGCTCCTCAATTTTATTTCCAGTCCTGTTGCCAGATTGTTTTAATGCTTATCGGTATCGAAGGTATTAAAAGATCGGTATTTACTATTTAATTAATTTTATATTTTTGCCGTTTTTGAAAGCAAAATTTTTAACAATGGTGACGACTGGGACTTGAGGGGAATTGCTTTGTTTAACGGCTTTCTCAGTCTTAAAACACACCTTAATTTTTTAATTTAATTTTTTAAATTATCGTTGTCCTCAAACGGTGATCGAAATTGTGACCAAGTAGTGTTTTTTTTCAATTAAATATCATTAAATTAATCCAAAATATGGAAAATCAGCCACAACAACGACTAAACCACCGACAAACCGACATGAATGACCATAGCAAAAGCAATACAATTTCTGACCAAAGCACACTACTGACATTTGGCTCCGTGTTCGCGGGAAATATTTAGCCAAACCATGAACCCGCATTCAAAAGTTATGAATTGGTTCGTGTCTAATCTATTTTTATCTAGATCAAAAAATCCCACGGTTTTGACAGTTCAGATCACTGCACATTTCAATCGACTGTTTACGATTTTCGGGCAAAAGTCAAAATTAAGTTTCATGTCGGTTTGTCGGTGACAAAACTATTGACATTAACGACAAACAATATTTTACCTTGGAAAAGGCCACAACCCATGGCCGAAATATCGGGCAGATTACATCGTAGTCGTTGCAGTGTTTTAAGACTGAGAAAGCCGTTAATCAAAGCAAAATTTTAGCTTTTGAACTATGATCGGAAAATTCCGGAAGAAAACATCCAGGGAAAGACGAAAGAAGCTCTCCTGGATTAAGTTCGAGGAAAGTTCTAAGACAAGTTGGAAAAACATCCGAGAAACTTCCAAGGCACGAATTGAAAAACTTGTGGCGAAAATTTAGATAAACTATCAGAAAAAAATCAGATGTCACATCCAAAGTGTTGGCGCGGGCACTTACGAGACGTTCGGATTAGGCACTAAAAATTCGCGGCGGAAGTTTTGCGTGTAAAGAAAGATCACTTTATTTTAACTTCACTTCTATTTATTACTCTCCTCTAATTATCGCAAGATAGTTTGATCGACGTGTACGTTTTGTAGGTTTATTTTCGACTGATCAAATGCTGGTTCGTGTATAGTAATATATGCGAGTTCAGTGGCTTGATAAGAGAGCAAAAGGCCTATTCAAAATTCTCTTCTCTCGTTATCCGAAGGCTAATGATAAGGAAGGGTACATTCTTGGTATTGATCGCAAGTGATCGAGTGAGATAAATATAGGTCTTATATACTAAGGAAAATTAATTGCTAGGGTTTGCGTTAACATATGCCGGCCCCCGTTGAAAGGATAAGCCTATCAACCGACATGTAGGTGAAATGAGAAAGGATGATCTGGTCGTCGTCGGGTTTCATTGTCGTCGATTGCTCTCCACGTCGTTTGTTTTGATTCTCCTTCTGCTCGGCAAGGGTCGTTGACCTTCGCATGGTCTGGTCCTTGATCAGATGTTTCCTCCACCAGTACTCGATCGTTCGATTGGTCGTTGCTAGTGATGTCATCGTCATAGTAACTGACTTTAGATAGTCATCACTCGGTTGGGCGCACTCGTGGTTGGGGTTGGAGTCGCCGTCGATGGATCCAGGGTGCATGTAGGAGGACAAAAATTTCTTCAGCTTTTTGAAATTTCAATGAAAAACAATACTTACAGGGGTCGGAGGCCCGCAGGCCTCCGATCGTTGCGCAGTATCGATATACTGCGATGGTGGACATCAGTGGTCATCAAGATGATGGTTGTTCCCATTGGCCGACTGGGTTGCGATTTGGCGCACGGGAAGGATGCATATCTTGGATATTGCGCGGCGAAATTCTCCATCGGCCGTCTTCACGCTGACTACTCTGATGTTGTTGTCGTCTCCTCGGAAAACGTGGGTGATTCTGCCGTATCTCCACTTGAGTGGAGGGAGATTGTCCTCTTTCAGGAGCACCATTGTGCCCACAGCAATGTTGTCCCTAGCTTGTGTCCACTTGGTGCGTGGATGAAGCCCTGACAGGTAGTCAGTCGTCCACCGTTTCCACACTCGTCGGAGGAGCTCTTGGTTCTCCTGCCAACGATCGAGCCGATTTCGTGGTACTTCTGATAGATCAGGTTCAGGGAAAGATGTGAGCGGACGATGAATAAGAAAGTGACCCGGAGTTAGAACCTCTAGGTCGTTTGGGTCTGCAGTGAGTGGCGTGAGCGGCCTAGAATTCAGGCAGGCTTCTCTTCTATACGAGACAAAAGCGTAACGAACTCGTCTTGTGATAGAATGGAGTTGCAAACTGTTGAACGGAAATGCTTCTTAAATGATTTCACCGCCGCTTCCCACAACCCTCCAAAGTTGGGACTGCAGGGTGGTATGAATTTGAATTGGATCCCGTCGTCTGCGCAACGATTTACCACTGTTGCTTTATGTTGTTGCGAGCAGAATTGTTTGCGCAGCTCTGCTAACTCTCGGACGGCTCCCTTGAAGTTTTGGGCGTTGTCACAGTGAATTACGTGTGGTTTTCCTCTCCGCGACATAAAACGGTGTAGTGCCGCGATGAAGGCGGCTGTTGACAGATCGTAAACCAGCTCAATGTGGATGGCTTTTGTGACAAGGCAGATGAAAATTGCCACATAGCATTTTGTTGGATGATCTTTGCGAAGTTTGCGAAACTGGAACGGTCCACACAGGTCAACACCAGTGTTCAAAAACGGTAATGTTGGCGTAACTCTTTCAGCAGGCAAATCTCCCATAAGCTGCTCCAGTGCCGATGGTTTACATCGGAAGCAACTGATGCAGGAATGGACCACATTACGTGCCAGGTTACGGATGCGGAGTGGCCAGAACTTTTCCCGGACGCATGCTACAAGCAGGTGTGGTCCGGCGTGCAGATGTTTCTGATGGTAGTGGGACATAATGCTTGCTGTTAACAGATGCCGTGCAGGAAGGATCATTGGATGCTTCCTATCCTCTGGTATATCCGCGTTCCGCAGTCGACTGCCGACCCGTAATATACCATCCTTCAAGACTGGACAGAGATTCTTCAACAACGAGTTCGATTTGACTTGACCCTCAGTGGCTATGGCGTCGATGTCGTTCGAGAAAACTTCGGACTGTGCTAGCTGTACCAACGTTGTTGTAGCTTGGTTTAGTTCGGACGTCCGCAGAAATCCAATTTTTCGAGTAGATCGATTGTCCGGTTTGGAGTTGTGAATGAATCGACGAAGCATCGCAGTGAGTCGAACTAGAGAAATGAATGAAGAGCGTAGACCGAATATTTCATTCGGTTCGTGAACTCTGACCGGTAACGATACCGATCGTTCTTCGAGGGCTTCCACTGTCAGTTCAGGCAGATCACTTTGGAGGACTGGAGGCCAGAAACGGGATGGTTGTTTCAGCCAGGATGGTCCCGTCCACCAGGCTGACGACTCCTCTAACTGACTTGCTTCCATTCCACGAGAGATTATGTCCGCTGGATTATCCATACCCGAAACGTGAGCCCAGACACCGTTGGTTGTTAGATGTTGCACTTCCGATACTCGATTCGCAACAAAAGTTTTCCACCTTGACGGAACCGAGTTGATCCAGTGGAGTGTGATCGTTGAGTCCGACCAGAAGAACGGTTGAGTGTTCAGTGCGATGCTAGAGTTCACCTTGTGGTACAAGTGGCTCAAGAGAAGAGCCGCAGACAACTCCAACCTGGGAAGACTGACCTTTTTCTGCTTCTTCGAATCTCCGAGAGGTGCCACCTTGGATTTCGCAGTCAGCAGACGAACGGAGATGCTCCCATCATTAGAAACGGTACGAATATATAGACAGGCACCGTAAGCACGTTCCGACGCATCGCAAAACCCATGGAGTTCTATGTTGACTGGTGTAGTAGCGAGTGCTGCCCACCGAGGTACGGAGATTGAAGAAAGTGCATTTAGACTGCAACGAAAGGAAAGCCAGTGCTGCTGTTGAATTTCGTCGAGATGATCATCCCAGGATGCAGACGTTCGCCAAAGAGATTGAACAAAGATTTTTGCTAGAACTATCACTGGTCCAATCAGCCCAAGCGGATCGAAAAGTTTTGCTGTATCTGATAGTACAGAGCGCCTGGTGATTGTATCCGTTTGAGACCACTTGGGAACGGAATAGTGAAGCAGATCTGTTGATGGTTCCCATATCAGTCCAAGGGTTTTGATAGTAGATGGTGAATCCAACGCTAGGACTGCTCGTTCTTCACGTAGTTCGGGTGGTATGATCGAAAGGATGGCCGTCGAGTTGGACGCCCATTTGCGTAAGTTAAGCCCGGCAGATTGCAGCAGATTTCGTAACTGTGTGCACAGTTCTTTTCCTTCTTCTTCATCGTCGACCCCAGTCAGCATATCGTCCATATAAAAATTTTTCGAGAGGACTAGCGCTGCATGAGGATACAGATCAGCTCCTTGCTTAGACAGCTCCAGAAGACACCTAGTTGCCAAATATGGCGCCGAGGCAGTGCCATAGGTGACGGTGGTAAGCTCGAAGGTTTTCAGCGGTTCCGAGGAAGAGAAACGCCAGCGGATGCGATGTAGTGGACAGTCAACAGGGTGAAGACGAAGTTGCCGGTACATTTTTTCGCAATCGGCAACGATGGCAAACTGGTGCATCCGGAAGCGAAGCGATATCTCGTGTATGTCATCCTGTAACATAGGACCTACCATCAGCGCCTGATTGAGCGATACTCCGCTGTCCGTCCGACAAGAGGCATCGAACACTACCCTTAATTTAGTGGTTGTGCTATCAGCTTTCTCGACGCCATGATGAGGCAGGTAGTAAGACGGAAGAGTATTGAACGTGTCGTCAATTTCTCGCATGTGGTTGAGCTGCAAATACTCAGCAATAAATGCAGCGTACGCCTCCTTCAGTTTTGGGTTCGCTTCAAGACGACGTTCAAGAGCAAGGAATCTGCGAGTGGCTATTTCCTTCGAATTTCCGAGTTGAGACAGTACATCGACTCGTTTCGGTAGGGTGACTACGAATCTACCCAATTCGTCTCGAAAAGTGTTGGCAACGAAGTGTTCTTCACAGAAAGTTTCTTCTGGAGAACGAGTGCTAGGAGACCAGCAGTGCTCTATTTCCCAAAAGCGAGCGATTTGATCATCGAGTGGCTCTGTGCTGCACACGTGAGCCACTTTGAGTTGGTTACGGGAATGATAAAGCCCTACCTTACCGGATGCTACCCAGCCAAAAACGGTATTTTGCAGAACCGGCTTTTCAGGACCCAGCTTGATGAATCCTTCTAGGAGTAGTTCGAAATACAGTTCCATGCCCAGCAGAAGATCTATGGGTCCCGGTTCATGGAAGTTGGGATCTGCTAGTGTGATTCCGGATGGAACGTTCCAGCAGGAAGAATCGACCGCGTTGGCAGGAAGCTCACGGGTGATCTTCTTCAGTATGTGACAAGGTTCTTCGACAGTATATTCGGTGCAATGGGACCCTATCCCAACATCAACAGCGTGATACGATACCACGAGAGTGTTACCAATGCCTCCAATTTCTTGAAGATTAGGATAGCGACGTAACTTCAGCCTTTGAACCATATTCTCCGTGATTATGCAAAGTTGCGATGCAGGATCCAACAACGCTCTGGCCCATTGGGCGTCTCCATCGGAACCGAAAACCTTGACGATTGCGGTTTGCAGCAGAACAGTAGCAGGAACGGTTCGACTGCTACCAACAAGAGTGGTGGAAACGAGGCTAGTTGTTTGGGCAGAGGTTGATGGTGACTGCGTTTCAATCGATGAATTCAACCGAGATTGCGAGGAAGACTGATTCGAGGAATTCGTTTGGTTCGAGAATGATGAATTCGAACCAGAAACGAAAGGTGTATTGGGTTTTTGTTGTAAGGACAAACGATCGCTAGGAGGTTGGTGTAGCATAGTATGGTGCTTCTGGTTGCAAACTCTGCAACCGCTGGACGAACATCCTTTCAAAAAATGAGAGGAGGACAAACAATTTATGCAAAGGTTCTTTTTCTTCACTTGGTCAAAGCGTTGGGAAACGGCCAGCTTCTGGAACACGTCGCACTTGAATGGTGAGTGTGGAGACTTCGAACAGAACGGACAGGAACCAGGCTTCGAATTAGTAATGGTGTGGACTGTATTGACCTTCGCTGATTTCAACGGACGGTATGAATCCGCTTTCTGCGAATCAGATGAGCGAAACTTCGAAGGCGCCAACGACTGGAGAACCATTAAATGCGTACGCAGGAAATCGATGAGCTCCCGATACTGTGGAACCTCAGTGGATTTATGATGAGCTTCCCATTGCCTTAAGGTGAACGAATCAAGACGACTACAGACCATGTGGGATAGAAGCACACTCCAACCATCCGTTTGGATGCCCATTTTGTTTATTAGGCACAAATTGCGCTCAAAATCGTCGATCAAACACATAAGGGACTCGTAACATTCCCTTTTCATCGGTTCAATTGTGAAAAGTGAATCTATGTAAGTTTTAACAACTAACTTTTTGTTATCGAACCGCTTCTCCAACAACTGCCACGCAACGGCGTAGTTTGCGTCGGTCAGCTCAATCGATTCAATAACCTTTTTGGCATCCTTGGTTAATGATGCAACCAGGTAAGAAAACTTATCTATCTGCAATAATTGAGTGTTTGAATCAATTAGGGATTTGTATGTATCCCTGAATGTGATCCATTCCGAAATTGATCCATCAAAAGTTGGAAGCTTCACTTCAGGGAGTTTGATTCGGGACTGGGGTAGATTTGGCGCATTAACGACAGCCAGAGCTTGAGCATTTGGCTGTGAAGCTGCATTCAACTCACGAATTTTGCTAGTTAAGAAACTAGATGTGAGGATATAGTCGTGTTCGAATTTTTGGCGAATGAGACGATTGTTATTCTCCGTTTCCTCATCAGAAATGGTTTCGTCCGCGTTTGTCGCCTTTGTTTCATCGAACAGTAGTTCGAGTTTAAGACGATTCAACTGGAACTCCCTGTAAACCGTCTCCATTCGTTGCTTCCATCCCTCCAGTTGGTTCTTATCTCTATCCGCATCAAAACGATCCATAAACTGCTTCAAGTTGGCCATCGTATCCAAATGAAAGCGTTCTTGGCGGCTTAACTGCCTCAAATTTGAAGCCATTCTTCAACCAGCGAACAATATTTCGTACAACAATACGACACAGGTGACCAACCTGAACCACCAGAGCACACTATGCAACCTCAACTAGCAGGGATGAAAGCAAACGAATCCAAAAAAATCGAAAATTGCTTTAGTGGAATTGCACAAAAGGCTGTATGCAATAAGTCGAACAACGTAAAATCCCTTTATTTCGTTTCAAATGAGCCCGTTATCACTCGACGCTTCAACTCGCATGCGGTACTTACGGTTGCTCCGCTTTATCCAGGACGACGTCAGTTCAACGTCCCCTCTTTGTACAATTGTCCAGTGGTGCACAAAGGACCCAAGTCAAGCCACGATAGCGTTTCCACGAGATGTCCGTCTGCTTGCCTGGAGCCTTCTCCCTCGTAGACCGCCAAACTCCCAATGTTCACAAAATTCTTCCGAGATCACGTTTAATTACGTGATCTTCCGCGCACTTATTGTTCCTTTAACTTCGACCCGCGTTGATCCACAGGCTCTATACAGTAGCACTGTGATCGAAAACTCACGCGGGAACGGTATTGCTTCAATAATTGCACTATGGTTCGTACTTTGTAGTACCGAACAGTAACCCGCGATGGCAATTAATCACCGCGATTTATCAAATTTCTCACGGTTGATCCGGCTCGAAGGACCAAAAATGTTGGCGCGGGCACTTACGAGACGTTCGGATTAGGCACTAAAAATTCGCGGCGGAAGTTTTGCGTGTAAAGAAAGATCACTTTATTTTAACTTCACTTCTATTTATTACTCTCCTCTAATTATCGCAAGATAGTTTGATCGACGTGTACGTTTTGTAGGTTTATTTTCGACTGATCAAATGCTGGTTCGTGTATAGTAATATATGCGAGTTCAGTGGCTTGATAAGAGAGCAAAAGGCCTATTCAAAATTCTCTTCTCTCGTTATCCGAAGGCTAATGATAAGGAAGGGTACATTCTTGGTATTGATCGCAAGTGATCGAGTGAGATAAATATAGGTCTTATATACTAAGGAAAATTAATTGCTAGGGTTTGCGTTAACACAAAGGAAGCCAGAAAAGTTTCGGAAATCGGAAGTAAATTTTCAAGAAAAGCAAGAAGAAGCTCCGAAAAACCTTCCAATAGAATTCGAACAAAAAAAAAAACCTTTGGCTTATGGTCAAATTTCCAGAAGAAGACGAAATAAATTTCTGGTAGAATTGCTGGCAGAACTACCTAAGGTAGATTGGAAGAAACATCTGAAGAAAGTCAGAAGCCAGAGCGCTTACGGAACAGTCGAAAAAAACATGTACATAATTCATAAAACATCCCAATTTCCCTCAAGTTTTCGGAACATTCCTGAAATTCACTCAGGAATATGCCATAATTCCTCAAAATTCCTTAAAACTTCTTGTAATTTTCCTGAAATTAGTGACTATGACTACCTGAATATCTTTAATAATCTTTGAAGGTCTCTGAACTTTCTTGAAGATTACAAAATCTCTTAAGTGCCCTCATAATATTCTTGAATTTATTGTAACATCAATATTGAAGCTCCCGATTTTTTTATTTTTAAAAGTTATCGACACTGCCATTAAAAACCATAGAACTTCCCATAAAATGTTCTCACTATGTTCTAATGTTCATGTAACTTCCCTTACGTTTCCTAAATTTGCATGAGCCCCTCAGGACATTTCTGTAGTTTTCGGAAATTGCCTGAGTTTCTCGGAGCTTCTTTATAATTTCAGCAATTTCATTGAAATTAATTGATCCATCCTTATGTTCTCTGAGCTTCACTGAAGTTCCTGAAAACCATTAAATTTCCCTGAAGTTATTTTGACTTGTGAGGTTTAAAAAATATTTAGGAGTTCGCTGGACTTTTCTGAAATTTCCGGGTTTTTTGAATTTTAACAGAAGTTAATGAAATTGTCTTCAATTTATCGGAACTAACACAAAAATCTGGACTTTTCTGAAGTTTCAGAACTACTTAAATGATCCTGCAGCTAGTGTGGATCCGCAATAAAAATCTGATAGCATCCTTGAAGTTACGGAAAAGTTGAAAAAATCTGGCGGGAGAAGATGAAAGAATCATAAGAGCGGAGGCTGAAGAAGCTTTCCAGGTAAGGTGGAAGGAAATTCCATGGAAAGCTAGATGAAACTTCAGGAAGTTAAAAAATTAATAGAAACTTCCGGAGGTTAAATAATGTTTAAAAAATATGTCTCGATTCGCTAAAAATTACTGACAAGAGCCATCGACTATTTTTCGATTGATGGGTAGCCAATCAAAAGAAGGAAATACAAAGATTAGAAGAAAGAGTATCAAGCATAAGGCATCTTTAGAGGTGATTTTTTAGAATTTTGAAGGCTAAACAAATATGAGGTATTCAAAAAGATACAAGTCACTCACAAAAATTTTCTCCGAAATTCGATCGCGTACAGGCAATAATAATTTTGGTTATTTAAAAAGAAAAATCGGTATAAATCGGTATAAAATCTCAAAAATCGGTTTTCTGAGGAACCTTATCTGTATATCGGTATCTAGTTCGGAAATCGGTATAAATACCGATAAATCGGTATATCTGGCAACACTGACTGCCACCCGCGTTGCGGAATATGAACACAAAACAAAACTTCAATGCTATTTTCAATGCCAGAAAAAGCCTTAAAACAGCATGATTACCTGAACTCCTAAAAAATTCGCGTCAATCCGGCCAAACTGAGATATTTTGCCAAAAAAAGCCAGACATGTTAAAACGCTTTAAAACTTCCAAATTTGCACTAGAAAATCTGCAAAAATAGTTGAAAAACACAAGAATTATTGAAAGAATGAGTAGCCATATAACAACAGTGTAGTATTAAAACTAAAAATGGTTCATACCACAAAAATTGAATCATAATTATTATGAACGCTCACAAAATAGTATGATAAACTCCAAAATAACATCAAAAACGAAAAAAAAAACTCCAAAAATGGCCTCACATTCAGTCTAGAATTAGGGGTTATCCTAAGTCCAAAAGATGCTAAAAATTTCCCAATAAAGTTAAATGAAAGGAAAGGGGTGTAAGTGACTTTGATCGATTCTCTTCATCGACTTTCTCTTTTGATAGCCACAGCTTGCACAGCCACAGATTTTGCACTATTTCTGTTACATAGTTTGATAAAGGAGGTTCTCATCTAACATCCAGAATGGCACACGAATCAAGGAATGTTATTGCAACTGAATAAATAACGAAAGGAGAAAGTCGATGAAGAGAATCCTTAAAAGACACTTACACCCCTTTCCTTCTAACCCCCTCAAATTTTATTCCCTATTCAATGTGTATAATTTGACAGACAGCTGGTCTGAAATACTACTGTGAATGTTTAAGAGCTTCAGAGAGATTTGGAGATCAACTGAGAAATTTTTTGAGCTTCAGGGTAGTTCATAGATCATGAGAACAGAACTACAAAACTTCAGAAAATTTTACAGAAATTAAAAGAAATTTGCAGACATTCAGAAAAAAATCACAAGAGAGATCGAAGATCTTCAGAGTTTGGAGTTTGGAGCTCTACTGAAAAATTATTGAACATCAGAAAAGTTTGTAGATTTTCAGAACAAAGCTACAGAACTTTGGAAAAATCACAAGAATGGTCATAGATCTTCAGATAAATTTTTAGACCTTCAAGAAAGAGTGCAGATTTTCTGATGTATTTTTAGAATGTCAGAAATGTTCATGGATCTTCAATGAAACTTCAGGGAAGGTCAGTGGTTTAAAAATGTATATTTATACGATTTCAGGAAAATTTGTAGATCTTGAGAGAAACATTTAAAACTTCAAGGAAGCACAACTACTTTCAGATAAATTTTGAGATCTTGAGGTAATTTAGAAAATTTGCAGGGACATTTTCAGATGTTCAGAGTAGCCCAAGAGCCTACAGAAGAATTTACAAAACATCAGTCAAGTTTGCAGATCTACTGAAAAATGTATTGTGCCTCAAGGTAATTCGTAGATCTTGAGAATAAAACAACGGAGCTTCAGACAACTTTACAGAACTTTAGAGGTATTTCCAGAACTTCAGGAGAGTAGATATTTAGAGAAATCTGTAGAACTGCAAGGAATTTTGCAGATCTTCAGAGACATTCAGTGATTCAGCGTTTCAGAAAAGTACGAAAGTCCAAGATTTAGCAGAACTCTATGCAAAATCTTTTGTCTGTTGATTTGCTGAATACTATATGAATTATCGCGTATTTCTGTTGTTCATTACATACCAGGTGAGGGCTTAATCATGTTTTGCTGTGGAGTGTTTTGGTTTTGAGATGCTCGATAACCTTAGAGGGAACGGTTTTGCTTAATGAGCAGAATATCATGGGTTTAATCCCAAGCTCTCACAACACAAAAATATCAAGTATCATTCTAGCTAAAAATATTTATTTGCATAATATAACCTGGAAATTTTAGGGTTACATCTTCCTTATTTGGAGCATATTGTATGTAAAATAATTATTATTTTCATTGCAGAATACCAGTTATTTATATTTTCATTATTACGTATTTTAATGTTCTGATATATTTCATTTCTCCATTACATATGTTTACTATATATAAATAAATACTGGGTTGGGAGGGAGCATCAGGGTATCATTTGACCTGAAACTGGACGATGGAGTGGTATAACAACCGGAGTCTAGGAGGAAATAAACACTATCATTTACTTTATCCTACCGATTCGGTTGTGGTGGTGTGAATTCTACTCCAACAGTTTCATGGAGATTGACGCGCCCTTCTTAACAAACCATCCTGTAGGAAGCTTAATAAGTATTGCGAATTGCGTTATTCGATTTGTTGGATCGTATCGTTGGAAGGAGATTCTTAAATTCCCGTGGATTTCGCGTAAGTGCCTCTGCTTACGGGTCCACCCCACCGTTTTTGGCCCTTCATACAGCGATATTGTGCATTCAGATCGGTAGCTCAAATTGATCTTGCTA